GTCAGTTTTGCCAAAAAAAAAAAAAAAAAAAAAAAGCTTTATGGGAGGAAAAAAAAAAAAAAAGCCTTGCAACAGGAGATTAACCTTAGTGAGCACCGTGGAAATTTGCTTTCAGGCTTGATAGAATCATGTAAATCCTTATCTTAATAAGCAGGCAAGTTAACCCAATCTCTAAATAAATCTAAAATAGCTAAAAYCAGCCACTTCTCTCCATTATCAAATAAAATAATGGCCTGTGCTCTGCTGTAAAATACAGGTTGTTCTCAACCTGTTCCCTTACTGATCTCAGACCAACCTCCCTGTGCGCTAATAAATTTATATCCTGGTTTACTTTGCAGGAGGTATTTGCATCCCCTGATTGATTTGCCCGCTGGTTTCTCTGCAGGCACTTTCGCTATGGAGCCCCGCCTGTCATTAATCCACTGGGCACTCGTTTTCCTGCCAATGCAACCGTCCGTCCTTCCTATAACATAAGCATGACGCTGAGCAGTGCCGTGCAGAACAACACCTTCGTGAACGTTACCACCCCTGCTGCGGGAGACTGGTTCATCGCTGCGCACCTCCCCGAGGCTGCTGGCCGCATTGAGGTGAAGGTGAGCGCCGTGGGTGCCTCTCGCTCAGCACACTCTGTCTGGTGCTGTCTTGTCCTACCTGACCACTCTGTTCTCCCCTCTTGCAGGGTTTCTCCACCCCATGCACCTATATGTTTCAGCCAGATATGTTTGTGCTTAGACTCATTGATATGCCTGTTCTGGAGCCTGGTGTTGCCATGGCACAAACGGTCGTCTCACCTGCTAAACCACTGCATGTCAAGTGAGTGAGAGCAGCGGCTGGAAAGGCCTGGGGGCAGAGTGGGGGGCCAGATCTCCTGCTGGTGCTGTTTAGGGTAAACCAATGTTCTTGCCCTAGGCTGGGCTGTGCTCTGGAGCTGTGCTCAGAGACTTCTCTGAGCCTCTTTCACAAGCTCCTGGCAGTAGAAGGACAGGGTTTGTATGGGGACACATGAGAGGGCGCTGCTCTGACTCCTTCAGGTAGTCTTAGAGGTTTAACTGCGGGAATGGATTTGTTCTTAGAGACACTGCTCCTGAGCAGGCTTTTGACAACACAAACCAGGGCAATCTAGTTCATGCTGCAAAGCCCCTGGGGCATCGTGGCGGGTCGTGGCTGGCTTGTGTTCAGAGCGTGATCCGTGCAAGTTGCTGGTTCCTCCTCCTGCAGGGTCTTTGTTCCCAAGTACACAGCCACCATGTGGTTTGAGCTGCGGAGCTGCGTGGCTAGTGAGCAGAAAGCCTGTGCTGTGCGGGTCGTGCTGGGCTCCATCACGCTGCCACAGTCCTTCCAGAGGATCCTCACCTGCACCGGGAATGTAAACTGCAGCCTGGGCCTGGATTCACCCCCCTGGGAGAAGTGGCTGCAGATCATGGTGGAGAATCTTGGCACTGGCAGTGCTGATGTGTCTGTGGAGATGGTGGCTTCTTTCACAGGTGGGTTTCCACTCCCTGCAGCCCCAGGGAGGGACCCTGGGCAACCTGGGCCTTTGGGTGGCTGTCACCAGTGACTTGCATTCCCACCGTTCTGGTTGTCTGGGMATAACCTTCCAGGCAGGGGTCTAGTTGTTGCTTTGGGATCAAATGTGTAGCTTCCAAAATTCACTGAAGAGGGATAGTCCCTGGACCTGCTTGTTTTGGAAATTCTATGACAATTTGGAACGTCCTGGTTGTGCCGACTCCTTTTTTTTTTTTTTCCCCCTTACAGCTTGCAAACCAGGAAGTGCCAGTTCATTCCTTAACTTCAGCAGTCTTAACCAGAGCCAAACTGGTCCCAGACCAGGTAACACAGGAACAGCAGGGAGCCGTGCTCTGCCTGCAGGAGAGGCTCCACGCAACGCATCCGACCAGCCAAGTTTCTGTCTCCAGAGCCAGCCTGTCGTTCGTGAGGACCTGGATGTTGTGTCTGTGCGGTACAGGCTCTTGAACGGTCCCAGTGTGCCTGTGTACTCCATCTTCCCCACCCTCCTCTTCCTCGGTTTGAATACTGGCATGGACAGCGGAGGTTCCCTTGTGGTGAATCTCCTGCTTAACAAGGTGCAGTAGGCTAATTTGTATGGTTGCCTTCTCTTAATGGGGCTGGTATCCGCCTCTGCTCTCAGACAGTTCATAGCAAATGACAGGAGTTGTAGGTACCAGTGGGCCTAGTTCCCTTTCTGCTGCTACAAAACACTCTGGGCTTTTTCTGGCCACATCTAGCACATCCACTTGCCGGTTCAGATTTCAATGCCACAGCTTGTTGGCATGTGGCAGTGACATGGAGGAGAGGAGCTGAAAAGCAGACATCTCCCCATCTCCATGGGAGCCTGGAGCTTTGCCACCAGGAGTCATCAGGGAAACCCAGGGACGTTCCTGCCTGAGTCACTGCTGTTCAGACTCCTGCAGTGACATGTGGAAATCACTTTCCCTAAAATCCTGACTCATAAGATAGTTCCTGCTTCCCTGAGGACTGGAGCAGGGAGACCATGTGCTTRTGCAGAGGAATGAGCTAGTGGGAGCACCCCAGCTGGGGACACATCTCCCCCTGCAGTCCTGCTGACAGAATGTCCCTCCCTGCCTTCCAGCAAGCACATAATGCAGTGACAGTGCAGGCTGAGGGGAGTGCAGGTTTGCCCAGAGTGAACTGGGCAGTTGATTGCCCTTGATCTGAGGGATTTAATGCCACCTGCTGCTTCTGCAGGGCATGAATAGCAAGGGAGGTGAAGGGTGAGCAAGAGGGGTGATGCTGAGGCATTCTGTGACCTGGGATGCTTTTCTGTTTGCACAGACATCCCTGAGCCTGGCCAACGCCACTGTGCTAGCGTGTGTGAGTGCTGCTTCACCAGTGCTGTCCCCCAATGCTACGCAGAACTGCAGCACAGGTAGGAGAGCCAYTGGCACCTGCTGCCAGCCCAGTATCTGTATCAAGACTTTGCTTTAAGGTTTTGCAAGCTGTTAACTAAGGGAGGTGCTTTGGAAAGGTATCTCAGTGAATATGATTTTTGGTGTAAGCCCTCCTGAGATCTTGAGCACTCAGACCTGTGCAGAAGGCTGCGGATGCCAGCCTCCATGGAGTCAGCCTCCACCAAAGGAAGGTCTCTTCCCAACTGGGACTCTTCCATTGTTCTTAGCTGGAGGTTTGGGATGGTCATGCCCCTGCTGATGTGCAGAGAAGCTGAACTCTATACTGGGGACCAACGGAGCAAGCAGTAGCTGTTCCATGTGCTTTATGCACTCACTGGTTATCTAGACAGGTGCTGAGAGCTGAGCTGACAGGAAGAATGAAGCTCTGTGGGAGCAGGGATCCTCTGCATCAACCCTACCACCTTGAGGGGATGGGATTGGGGTCTCTAGGAATGCCCAGTTACTCTGCAGCTGGTCTCAGCCTGGGGTTGCTGTGTGCTCTCTACCCCTTCCCTGGTATACAACAATAACTTATTTTCTTGAAGCTTTCTTCCAGGGCTACCCTCTGAGCGTGAGCGCATCCTCCACAGAAGCAATGCTGATTGTTCTTTACCCAGAGACCAGTGACTGGTTCCTTTCCCTGCAGCTCATCTGCCCAAAGGGCCAAGGGTGAGTCTGATGTGTTACTGGGCTTGGAGCTGGCCCAGAACACTCCGCCTCCACCTCCGACTGCTCTTCACTAATGAGAGCAAAAGCARACCCCTGTTGCTGGTGTCCTGCCTTGTGCCATAGGGTCCTGTCACCTGGCAGCAGTGAAGCTGGGGGTGAAGAGCCAGGCTTTGGGGTAGGAAGCAGRTGACAGTGCCAGCTTGCTTTCTTGTGACACTCAAGCAGGTGTTTTGGTGCTGGGCTGACGTCTCTCATGCTGACTCTATGTGGCTGACAGAACCCATCACTTGCCTAAATAGACTCCCGCGTACCCAGATGCACAGAGCTGTGCTGTAAATGAAAATGCTTTAAAAAGAAGTCTTTAAAAGGCAGCCAGCCGTGCTTTTGGTCCAGCAGTCTGCCTTTCTGCTGCTGCTTCTGTGTAAGTGGCTAAGTGGGCTCTGTAAAACAGTGCTTGCAAATGCTGGGCTGAGGAGCAGTCATGGCTACCTGAGTCTGTTTTYGGGGTCTGAGGGAGAGCTGGGGGTGCCTGCACACAGGTTTGGCCTGTGGAGTGGAGAGGGAGCTGACTGTGCTTTTAGCTCTCAAGCCTCCCAGGAGGGACGAAGCAGATCCACTGTTGATGGAGTAAGGGAATCTCTGTGCCCAAATATCAGGAAGCTTTTGCACACGTGAGTGGCCTGAYTGCAGGATATAGCAAGACCGGGTAGTCTCACACCCTCCAGAGCAGAGCATTCCCTCAGCACAAGGCTGCCCGTGCAGACCAGGGCACCAACACGACCTCCTCCTCTTGTTGCAGTGAATGTACCAACGCAGAAGCCAAAGTGACCGTYGTAGCGTACCTCACCCCCTGCTTCAACGACTGCGGCCTCTACGGGCAGTGCAGTCTTCTGAGAAGACATGGCTACCTCTATGCTGGCTGCAGCTGCAAAGCTGGTGAGTGCATTTTCCTGGGAGCCCTTGGCATTTGCTCCAGGTGGAGGTCACGTCCTGTACTGCAGTGCAGGCAGGGAGCCCTGGGACCTGCCATGACTGCCAGACACAGCACGGACTTGTAGCTCCTGCCCCAAGAACCCTCTACGGCCCTGGCACCTGCAGCCTTTCTTGGACAGGCAACATTAACTGTTTCACATCCATTCTGAGGCCCCTGGGGCTTCGTGAGGTGCTTCTGGGCATCCCCAAAGAGATAAGGAGGCCAGCAGGGTTTCTTGAAAGTGTCAGAGCAAGGACATTTCAGGACAGTGTATGACATAGGGTCCTCATACAGGATGTGGTGCAACTGGGCTGTCAGTCCCTGTATGTGCTCTGCCGCGGTGATGTCTGTCCTGCCGTGAGCCTGTACAGGGGCCAACTCTTGTATTCAGAGATGTCCCGAGGAGAAGACTGTGGGGAGAGTCGCTAGTGTAGGGAAGATGAAAGCTCCACTGACTCTGGGCAGGTGCTTGCACCACTTTCTCAGCAGAAGGGCAAAGTGAAGGTTCTCCACTGCTTTGGTCTTAATCCAGGATGTTCCTGCTGTCTGCAGTAGTTCTGTGGCTTGGCTGGTAGTGAAATAGAGAACAGCACTGATTTCCCCGAGGTGCATGAGGTTCTGGGAAGCACAGAGCAGCCCAGGGGAAAAGGTGAATGAGGCTGAGGACAGCTTTCTGCTGAATTACTGGGAGAAAAATGCCCTGCCTCCATATCAGTGACCCAGAAACACCCTGGGAGAACAGAGTGCTGTGGGCACTGTGGCCCAGAGATGGGAGAGAAGAGGGAGTATCCATCCAGCTGTTTTGAACAGCACTGTAATGGGATGGATGCAACTTCTGACTGGGTTGTTGAATGCAGAGYGTCTGCACCAAAAAGCAAAAGGGCTTTGTGCCTAGAAGAAATGGTCTAAGCTCAGTCTTTGGTATTCTGTCAAGAGGCTAAGAACTGACCTTACTGTCAGTGCTCATGCACTGCCCTTTAGGGAGTTTCTACTCCCACCTATCCCGTGCAGACCTGGATGCCACTTTGATGGACTGTTACACTCTTCTGAGAAGTCCTCCAAATGTCCTTGTGTAGATGTAAGCAGATCTGGGGACTTCCCCAAGTACCCGAAGAAGCTGGGTCCTGTCAAGATTAGGAGTCCCAAGGAACTGCCARTCACTAATTCTGGGAGAAGAACTGGCTGCGGAGTGGGCGCATCAGCCACACTGTGTGAGTGTGAGAGGTCAATACTGGGGCTGATAGCATTCAGCTTCTTCAATGGCCAACACATTCAGGGATGACACCAGATGGGGGGTTGATTGCTGTGGCAGAGGGCAGGCTTGATGTTCAGCAGAACCTCAACAGACTGGAAAAAAAATAGGAGTGTTGGGAATTGCATGAATTTCATCAGCTTCCTACAACTGGAACAGAACAACCCTGTGCATCTGYACAAGCTGGGGAAATACCAGCTGGGGGCAGCTCTCCAAATACAAATGGATTTTTCCCCATTAGAGCTGTTCAGTTTTGCACATTATCCGTAGAGGTGTTAGGACCTCCATCCTTAGAGACTGAAAACTCAGCTGCTTAAGGTCCAGAATAACCTGTCYTGGCTTTGCAGTCAGCCCTGCTCAGAGCAAGACATGGGACAGGAGGACAGTGACTTTCTTGATGTTTTGTATCATTCTCTCCTTGGTTCCTGGGATCTGTAGGGGCCTTCCCCTGYGGAGTTTTAAGAGTGTTATCCCAAGCAGCTGAGTCCCAAACACTTGATTTATTACAGCAAGTAGCATGTGTGTGTTGAGTTACCATGGGGATGGAAAGCAAGTGCTAGCCTGGGCAGGCCCGTGCTGTGCGTTCAATGGCCCCTGCTGTGTGGGAATTACCTGGGAGATCTCAGATCTCAGCCTGGGCTCTGCTCCGCAGGTTGGAGTGGATGGAGCTGCACGGACGATACCAAGGCGCAGTCTGTCAGTGCGCAGAACCTGGCCACCCTTCTGCTCACGCTGAGTAACCTCATGTTCCTACCAGCGATCATGGTTGCTGTCTATCGCTACTGCCTGGTGGAAGCCTCTGTCTACACTTACACGATGTTCTTCTCCACGGTAAGAACTGCCTTTTGTCAGTTCCCCTGCCAGCACCAACTGCACTATCCCACTGCCAGGATAGTCAGGAAGTCCTGCCTGCTTGGACTGAGGTCCATGATTGGAGTAGTTCCATCCTGGAGCTCTGTGAGGAGCTTTGGGGTTCACTGGGTGAGCACCTCTATGGATATGTCCTACCCCTTCAGAGCCCAACAGGAGTATTATTTCCACTGGGCWCTTCCTGCCCATGCTGTGGGTGCTCGCATTTGGGGTTGGGACTGTGGGGAGCAGAGATGTTGGAGCTCTGAGCTTCTTCATTGCACCATGCTAGGACCCTGAGCAGCACCCAGAGGGCTGCGCTGCCYGGAGCACACTGCCCTGTCTCCCTGCTCCCTAGGGAGCTGCTCTCTCTTGGGCCCTACCTATACAGCGGGGCTCCTCCTCACGTTAGGCACATACAGGGATGCTGACTCCACAGAGGACAGGGCTGAGCAGAGGGATGCTGCCCTAGGAGCTTTCCCTGCTGCTGAGTGGGCACAGGTTGGTGGTTGCTCTCCAGCTGCTTTCCACAGCCCTGTGGTAGTTTGCAGCTTTCTGGAGACACCTCCAGGAGGGATCCTGGCACTATGGACTTAGCTTTTCTCTTGCATCTCCTTCCTGGAAAGCTGTGGGAACCACTGGATTCATGCTTAGCCTTTGCTCTTGCTCTAGTTCTACCACGCGTGTGACCAGCCAGGCGTCGCTGTGCTCTGTATTATGGACTATGACACACTACAGTACTGTGACTTCTTGGGGTCCGTGGTGTCCATCTGGGTGACCATCCTGTGCATGTCCCGAGTGAAGAAGATCCTGAAATACGTGAGTGTTGGGTGCTTGTCCCGAGCTGCAGGGCCTCGCGGGGCCGAGGCAGCCAAGCTGCAGGCGGCCGCGCTGTGCCCTCTCGCGGCAGCGCTTTAGCAGCACAGCCTGTGCAGTGGCCCCTCCCGTGCTGCCTGCCAGGCTGCCCAGCTCCCCGCACAGCCCTCCTTGGCTTCCAGAGACTGTTAGTCACTTTGTGCTGCCCTGGTTTTTAAACCAGAGCACGGTTTTGTCCCAGGAGTTTCCCCCATGATCTGCGTGCCTGTTGGGACTGGGCCTAAAGAGGGTGACGGGGAAGATTTGTGAGGTCTCTGGTTTCTCATGCTGAGGGTGCAGCTCCTGAGCCATGCAGGCAGAGCTGGGCAGCTGGGAGGTGAGGTTCAGCCTAACGTGAGGCTTTGGCATGGCTRGCTGTGCTTTGGCAGGTGATAAGATCCTCATGCTGGTGCTGCTGTCTCACCCACAGGTCCTTTTCCTCCTGGGAACTCTCTTCATTGCCATGTCTCTGCAGCTGGACCGCAGAGGGGTGTGGAACATGATGGGTCCCTGTCTCTTTGCCCTCGTCATCATGATTGCAGCATGGGTGAGTAATGGGAGCCAAGCAGGAGGTGCTGCTCCTTGTCCGCTTCCAGAGAGCAGTGGGGGACGAGCAGGCCCCAGACACCAGCCCACCCGCATCCATAAGTTGATCTCAACACAAGAGTGGGCCCAAGGCAGGGGGAGGACTGAATTTGCCTGGGGACAGCAAGCAAACCCTCTTGCCATGAGGACTGGCATGTTGACGGGTGCTCCTAGGTCAAGCAGTGCTGTTTTCCCTACATAAGCTTGTGCCTGACTGCTTTACCCTTCTTTACTCTCCCACCTTCAGGTTTACCACGGAGTGAAGCGCAGACACTGCTACCCCTCCTCGTGGAAGCGCTGGGTTTTCTACCTCCTACCAGGGATCACCTTGGCTTTCATCGCCATCTCAGTATATGCATTCATGGAAACCAATGAGAACTATTACTACACCCACAGCATTTGGCACGTGCTGGTGGCGAGCAGCGTTGCTTTCCTGCTCCCACCTCGGGAAAAACATAAGAAGCCCTGGGCCTGGTCGCAGAAACTCACGTGCCGCTATCAGATCTGTCAGAATGACCGCGAGGAGCTGTATGCTGTGACCTGAACTGCTGGGCTGCAGGTCACAGAGACAAGAAGGGGTTAGTCAGGTTGCTTTCTGCTAGGCCAGCCTGGGCTGCCCCTCCGTAGCACTTTGGCAATCCTATTACATGCTCATTCAGCGGCTGGGACAGCACAGTAGCTGGACTTGGATGTAAAGGTGCAGAGGGGGAGCTTGTCTTATGAAGACAAGTGGGAGCTCTCTGCTTTTCTGCTGAGACGGAGCAGGCTCTTCGTGCTTTTCAATGAAGGAATAGTCTGCCCCCGCCTCTCTCGTGGCCCCCGGGGGGTCTGCCCCCCSCTTCTTTCCCTTGAGCTGTGTCTGTGGGGCTGAGGCACGGCCCGCTCTGCACTAGGGCCAGGGCTTGGGCCATTAGGCTTTTCTCTGCACTTACTCTTCCAGCAAAGAGCTGCAGGGGCAGGGATTTCCCTTGCTGCCCTGCTCTCAGTATTTGATTTGCTAAGAGAACAGGTTTCCCCTGTGCCTGACCTGAAGGCAAATGCTGCCGAGTACCCTTGGTGCTGATGGGGAGCTGTTTTCAGTAGGCCCTGGAAGCATTGCTGTCTSCAGTGCAAGCCCGGAGCCTCTCCCGAAACAGGTGGTGCTGCTTTTACCTAGTCCTSATTCTGGAGGGGATTCATGAGACTGCAACTTAGCCCCAGGTTTAGGATCAAGGGAAAAAAAAAAAAAGTGTAGGCATGTGCAAAAGGCATCGGCAGCATCTGACCCAGGGCTGCAAACCATGCGGCAGTGCAGGGCTTTGTTTTCTATTTTGGTCCTCTTAGCTCATCTGGAAGGGCCCAGGTGCTGCCCTGTGCCCCCTTTCTCGATGTTCAGGTATTCATTGTCTTCCTTCCTTTCCTGGCTTCATCAAACATGCAGCTCTGCCGTGGCAACGTCGTAGGTGGCAGGATCGCTCAGGACTGCAGCCAGGTCAGTGTGCTCAGCGTGCTGTGGCACTGCTCTTGCAAGGGAAGTGGGTAAAGCTGCCCCTGACTCCTGCCTCTTTGGACAGCAACAGCTCTCAGACCGCCGAGGTCCCAGACTTGGCATCTGGGGCCCGGGAGTAGCTCAGGCCTCAAGGCACGCAGCAAACCTTGCAGTAGTCTGAGCACGGCGTGGTCTTACGGTGGGTTTGCTSCTTACGGTTTGTTTGCTGGAGCACAGCTCCAAAGCTGTGCTTCACCCGAGCGCATTCCCTGTGCTTTGCATACAGCGTCACGTCCAGGCTGTGCGACCCCGCGCTCGAGCTGCTCCCGGGAGCRGGAGCTCTGCGGGCCCCTCTCTGCTCCCCGTTCGTTCCTGCTGGCTGGGAAGCCAGTGCCTGGCACAGGCAAAGGGAGAGGCGAGCGCGTGGAGCCCAAAGCAGCAACGTGGCGCTGCTGACACCTGTGCGTGGCAGTGGGGATGTCTGTGTGCTTAGGCTCACGGGAAGGCTTTAGGACAAGTGCCTGTTGCTGTGTCTGTCTTTTGGGAAGGATTGTTTCCAAACTCTTCCTAATCCTTCGTGCTTTTGTGGGTGGGGTGTGAACAGWGCACCCTGCAGGGCCGAGGAAGCAGGGAAATCTCTAAAGAGCATGAAAAAACAGTGTCTAAATGAACATGGGTGCCTTGGGTGGAGGCTGGATGTGCTGTGAAGTTGGGACTGATCTCAGGCCAGTGCAGTGTCCCAGGCAAGCCAGAAGCATCCCCACTGCCTCCCAAGGTAGCTCTAGGCTGTGGGGCTGTCACCTTAGCCTTACGGAGGGCACCCAGACACCCGTGGTGCTGTATGCTAAGCAAAGGGAAYGGGAGAGTGGTCTCTGCCCATCCCCGTTAACACAGATAAGGGCTCCAGCGTGTTGCTCCTTGCTCCTTTATTCCSGCTGTGGTGGATGGGAGGGCAGAGGAGGCCTGGAAGGAGGTGCCGGCCGCGCTGCCCCCAGCTGTGCAGCCTGCGCCTTGCCACCTCCCGCCTGGCCCTCGGGCCAGCTGCTCCCGTCCCCACAACCGCGACCCACTCGTCACTGCAGGTCCCCTACCTTGGGAACAGRAACCTGGGGGCAAATGCTGCATAGGTGTCCTCAGGTAATGGAAGTGACAGACAGGGCTTGCACCTCTCGCTGCGCTGGGAGTGTTTTGGGTGTGGAAAACAGCCCTTAACTGCCTTCCTTGGGGAAGTGGGCTGTCCACGCAGGCAAAGCGCTGTCCTGTCTGCAGTCCATCCTGTGCTGCTCGTAGCTTGTCCACGGAGGCCGGCTCAGATCGCTTTGGGACGAAAGAGCTGCTAATGGAGGAGCTAGGTCCTAGGAAACGGGGTTATCCCTCTGCTTGGAGACATGTCCAGCATCCCGCTCCGCTCTGCTTTAACCTCGTCCCACAGCTAACCCAGCCTAAACCTGTCCTCAAGCCACAGCCTGCAGCACTCAGGGCCGCGTCCCCCCTCTCCCTGCGCCCTCGTATGTCCTTGGTTTGCAGGCGGTGCCCGCGGGCGAGGGGCGATCGCACGTCACAGTTGGTGATGGTGTCCGTCATGGTGTCGGTGTCCGTCACGGTGACGGTGTCCGTCACGGTGACGGTGTCCGTCACGGTGACGGTGTCCGTCATGGTGTCGGTGTCCGTCATGGTGTCGGTGTCTGTCACGGTGACGGTGTCTGTCACGGTGTCCGTCACGGTGTCTGTCACGGTGTCGGTGTCCGTCATGGTGTCGGTGTCCGTCATGGTGACGGTGTCTGTCACGGTGACGGTGTCCGTCATGGTGACGGTGTCTGTCACGGTGACGGTGTCTGTCGCCCGGTGGCTTCTCCACTGGGCTTCCTTTTGCTGCTAGCGCTCGAGGGCCCCGCACGGGCCCGGCCGCACTCCGGGGCCTCCCGTCTCTTCCAGGCACTTTCTCCCCCGGGGCTCTTTGGTGGCCATGACCCCTAACGAAGCAATAATCACCCGCAGGCCTCGGCCTGGCCCCGCGCGGGCCCAGTGCTGTGTGTCGGTTCTGCTCGGGCCTGCCCGCGCTGAGGGACGGGTGGCACTGGGAGCGGGGCAGTGGCCGGGTTGGGGTGTGTGGGCTGCTGCAGGGGAGCCCGGGCGGGCGCCACGTCCCGGGAACGGCTCCTCTTCCGTTGCTGTCRATACCTGTGATTATTTTATACCGTCGATTTTAAAGCTTACGATTTTATAATTTAATAAGTGTAATAGTATTGAAGGGCAGGCGCGGATCATGCTCTTAGGGTGGCTGGATTTTATATTTATTAGAATTAGGGTCGATTAAAACRAAGAGCGAATAAAAAGCTAACGCAGGCGCCGCTCTTCTGCCTCTGTGGGCGGGGCGGGGAAAAGCGAACGCGGTTTGGGCGCGGCCCCTGCCGGCCGCCGTCGCCGCGGGGCGTGGCCGC